CCCCAAAACCCCAAAACCCCAAAACCCCAAAACCCCAAAACCCCAAAACCCCAAAACCCCGTTTCAGGTTTCCCAGATTGTAACTATTAAGCCAGTGTCATTTATCCATTCTTAGTAGGGGCGGATTTCCCTTCCACAAAGCTAATTTCTGCGACTGGGTTTTAAATGAGGGTTTGACCTAAACAGAGTGAAAATTCCACCCCCTGGGCTAATCGGAAAGGGCTTTTGGTTGTTTCTGGTATCGAAAAATGCATTTGGGCTTGCTAGAGATGATAAAAATAGCTTACAAATAGGAGCAAACATGTTAAATGCTCCTCCTTCTTTGTTGAATTTGCTGTTGAAGTACTTTGAGCTGTCAAGAGCTGGAAACTTCTGGTCATCAGGAGTGTTAGGAGGAAAGACCGAGTTTGAATTACATGAAAGAGGGAAGTTGAGTGGTGATAGAATTCCAAGCCCATTTCCTCCCATGTTCCCTGAAGCTTTAAGATGGGTCAGACAATATCTCTTAGATTTTGGAGGAAGTTTATAATCAACTTACTTATCCCATTGATGTCCAGCTCTAGCACTTTAGGGCTGAACTTGCTTGCCTTTGGCTTTTTATCCTCAGTCTATAGTCAAGAGTTATAAAAATGGAGATCTGAAACGTTCTTAAATTTAAAATGATCATAAAACGAACATGGTGGGATAAACATAGGTAATTCTGTTACAATTGCTGTTTCATAACGCTTTATGAAGGTAAGTATCTAGCCTAAATACCCTATCGACTCTTGTATAGAGAAGCAGAGCTGTAGCTCACTTTACTTCACAGGCCTATGTGTCACCAGTAGGTCTAAGTTAGGCACAGAAGGTGATGAAACAGAATCCTGATATAGAATAGGAACGACTAAAACTATTTTATACTACAATTAATGGTTACCTTATTGTTATGGCTATTTCCATTGTCAGTCCCTCCATCATTCTGACTATTTGCTTTCTGAGAAGGCAGCAGGTTGAATACTTGTCTAAGAGAGCTGGCCGGATTCAAATAATTCTTCTAATCAGAAAAGTTAGACACTTTCAGAAGTTATGGAAATTTACATGTGTTGATGTAAAACCTGGTTTAAAAGGTAACTCTGACTTCATACTGCCAGGGGTCGGCACTCTGAACTCCTTCCTTCTGAACTGGTCTTGAATTGAACCTCTCATTAGGTTAAAGGATGGGTTTGAAAAGCTAAAATCTGCAGTCTTCTTAGTGCTATTTTCAGCTGTTTGTTTTGGTGAAAACATAATATTCCGAAAATATGTTGGAGTGCCTACAAATTATTAGAAGGTGTTGGGAATTAGGAAAGAAAGGGATTAAAACCTTACTTGGTAAAATATTCAGGCTTATCTCATCTGGCTTCTCTGTAATCGCAGAGATTTCTTTCTCTGGAGAGTTCATTCTGAACTCCGATCCTTCTGCAGAGTTGATCTTGGTATATAAATTCGTGATAACTGTAATTTTCTTTGGTCCAGACTCAAGGTCAAGGTGAAGATTAGGAGACTTATTCAGCCCAAAATAGGTTCAATCTTGGAGTTTGGGGTTCCATTTGCCTTCTTTTCTCATGATTTTTCTAGCCAAATACCTCTTTTGGAACTCTTGTAATCTGGTAGCCTTATCCATCATGTCGATTCTCTTATGTTTGGCTACAGTTGGGATATCAATAAAATTGACATCATCTTCATTATCTGAAGCTTCTTTAGCTTCTTCATGAGAAACTTCTTGTTCTGAATACTTCGCTCTTTTATTCATGAATTCTTTACAATTAGAAGTTCTCATCTGGTATTTTGATGCATTCCGTTTTAGTCCAACCTGATTGGAATGAGGTGCCCTCATATTTCCCAATAATGCTGATTTAGCTTCCTGGTTATGTATGCAGTGATCGTTTTCAGAAGCCTCCTTCATGGAGTCTTGGCCTAGGTCGACGTCTATCAAATCCAAGAGCTTTTTAAGTAGACCCAAGTTGTTGTCCATGGCATCCCCATGTCCATCAAGGCTGAGAAGGGGCTGTTTTTCACTTTCAGGGATCTCTGCTGATCTTGCTGATACTTTCTTTGTTGAGAGAATTATTAGTGCTTTATCTTCAATTTTTCTAATTTGGTAGTATCCTAAATCTCCTGTTTCAAGAGCATTAAGAAGGAACTTTAGCTTGATTTGTTTGGAATCTAAGTTAAAATTTTCACAAAATTTGCGGTTTCTCAGACACTTGTTAAGCTTCCTGAGATGTCTCCTGACAGTCGCATAGAAGTAATTTTTGATAGTATTGTCTGTCCTTCCCGGTAGCTGAGTGACAATTTCAGCCCATTTGTTGCCATATTCATTGTGGTATTTAAAGATTTTAGCACCCTCATGAATAGAAATAGGCTCTTTATTAATGTCAGGATTTAGGTGATTATTCCATCTCTCACGGATCTGCTTGCCTGTCTTTCCAGTAATGTGATACTTCTCGCTCAATATCTTAGCTATTGTGGCCCATTTCTTGGTACCGTGAATCTTGACTAATTTGATAATCGCTTTATCTTTCTCTTGGCTCCACAGAGTTTTTCTACCTTCATGGCTTGTTAAGTCTAGATGGGATTTGTTATGAAATCTTAAACATATTTGGAGGCTTACTCATTTTATTAATTTAAAATAGTCAATCTTTGGCTACAGAAAGGGGTTTTGGGGTTTTGGGGTTTTGGGGTTTTGGGGTTTTGGGGTTTTGGGG